ATACTTGAAACACCCTTCATGAGAAGACAAACCAACATTAACCAGCTCAGCCTGTGGCAGCCACCTCCCTCCCCTGTGGCGGTGGTTAAGAACATAAGAGACGCCAATGTTGGATCAGGCCAAAGGCCCATCCAGTCCAACACTCTGTGTCACACACAGTGGCCAAGAATACCAGGGGCCATCAGGAGGTCCACCAGTGGGGCCAGGACACTAGAAGCCCTCCCACTGTTGACCCCCCCCCAAGCACCAAGATGACAGAGCATCACTTGCCCCAGAGTCCCTATCTATGCCTTGTGGCTAATAGCCACTGATGGACCTCTGCTCCATATGCTTATCTAACTCCCTCTTGAAGCCGTCCATGCTTGTAGCCGCCACCACTTCCTGTGGCAGTGAATTCCAAGTGTTAATCCCTCTTTGGGTGAAGAAGCACTTCCTTTTATCCGTTCTAACCCGACTGCTCAGCAATTTCATGGTTGCTGTGGCAGGAGACACACAGGTCAAAGTTCAACTGGGAGAGCGTCTGCAAAAGACCTTGACCTGAAACTCTGGAGACTTGCTACCATTTCAAACAGGCAGTACAGACACTGCAGGGGGGGGGGGCGATACAGCAGCTTCACTTCCCGGTGTTTCCTAGTTCAGGGCTGTCGTGAGGGCCTGGATTGTGTGGGCTGGACTTGGGCCTGCCACGCTGCTGCTGCTGCATGTATAAGGGTCACGTATCAGAGTCCTGCTGAGGGAACACACCCCGAATGGCGGCAGGCCAAGGCCAACCGTGAGAACAGGTTCAGAAACCCTCAAGGGTTAACGTTCGGCCTGGCGCCTGCCGTTGTGAAATGAGCCTGCAGAGGGTGTTCTCTTAGTTCAGTGCTGGCTCAGCCAAACAGGCTCAGAGGTTATCAGACAACCGTGGGGGGGGGGTTGTTCCCCCATCCTGATAATTATCTTTTCTCTCAGGCTCCCTTGAAATGTGAGGGTCGCAAGGCAAAGACCTACCCCAGGCTGTGAGACTTCGCACACAAAGTAGAGCAAAGCGGCGAGGTATAGCATAATTTAGTTTTACAGTCAATGAGCAGTATGCACAAAGGTTTATGTAAAACCAGTCAAATTTCACGACATTATAAAGCTCCAATACTTTTAAGTTTACGCACACTGCTTTTTACTTGTGGATACTGTGGCAACACAATCAAAGAAGGAAATTTTTGGACCACAAGTCTACTTTATAATCACTGGGCTAGTGATAGCACTTTAAAGGTCTTATGTGCATATGGACCCTGTGCCTGGTGATTTTATTTTTGAACAATTTACTTTATAGTCCTTATTGAATTTATACTTTGTATATATTCTTGATTGTGTGTATGTGAGTATATGTATTAGCCATTTTGCCACATATATATGACCTCTGAGGAAGGCCTATTTGGCCGAAACGCGTAAGGTCAAGCTTTTAAGCCCTTGGTATTGTAATGTTTTATATATAACTGTTGTAAATGGGCCCCTGTATATGTTTTAAAATTTGTTATTAATAAATACATGTATCTTTTTCTACTTTTATTAGATAGGTTTTAATATTGGCCCTCTTCTTCACTAACCTTTGTTTGGTTCTGGATTCTATTGTTAGGTTCAGTTTTTTTCCCTTTTTGTTTCCCCTATGAGACAGAAGACATTCAAGCTTAATTTTATTTGATCTGCCAGGGAACTTTCCGATCAGCGGCTTAATACGTTTTGACCAGATCTCTCTATGCCTAGGACAATTAAAGAAAATATGTTCCATTGAATCAATTTCCTTTCAAGAGCAAGAACAGAGCCTATGCATATAGGGGACTGATTTAAACTTCCCTTCCAGAACAGCAGAAGGAAGAGTTGAACTTCTTGCCAATGTAAAAGCCCTTCTGGAATTATTTGATTCAAGAAAGTATAAGTATGCAACAGGAGCAGCAACAAATCCGGAATTTGGAGGAGAAATAAAACCTGGTGTTCTATGAATATCCATTTGTCTTTCTATATCTGTCCCTCTTTGTTTAACTAGTAATTTGGCTTGGTAAGCAGTGAGGTATATTTTAGTTAGCAGCTCAAAGATCTACCGCATTTCGACTTCACTTGCCTGTCTTCCCAGGAATTCATTTGGGACAGCGAATGTGGTTCTCTCTACCTCCATTTGATTCTCACAACAAGTTTATGAGGTAGGTTAGGCTAAGAGGGGGTGACTGGATTATGGGCACCCAGTGAGCTTCAGGTCTAAGGGAGGATTTGAATTCAGGCCTCCGCAGTATTAGTCTGACACAGTACCTACTACTGTACACTAGATCACGGACCCCAGTTGACACAAAGTGGAACAGGGAATCTCTTTGCCTCATCTTTAATCTGGGTGTCACTCAAAGCAGGCCAAATCAGTCCTAAATCTGAGCCATGGACAGGTGGCAGGGAAGACTGAGTTAGCTCTGGGGCCTATTTGAATCGATGAAATCATCGTCATAATTGTTATTACAAGGGTGTGGTCTCTGAGCACGTACAGAATACATTGCCATTTCTCCTCCTTTGGGGAAAAGCGCCTGGCCCCCAAACAAGTTTCTGCCTTATCATTATGCCCTTTTAAAAATTAACCTGTATGCTCCAGGCCTCTCTCACAGATTCCAGAATTCTCAGCTCTGAAAGAGGCCCAGGAACATTCAAGTTAATTTTTTAAAGGTCATAATGGTAAGGCAGAGACTTGTTTCACCCCCACCCCTGACGCGAACCAAGAGATCCTCTTCCTCCCCCATCACCCTACTGGGCATCACTCCCCATCCCAAGGAGGTTGCCACCTGCCTGGAGAAAGATGTCCTGACCCTTTAACTGAGGCTCACTGGGATGTTTAACACGTGATATTATTTGCCTCTGTGCCAGGAAAAAAGTTTCAGTCACTCCTTTCTGGACATCAAGCCTCTGTTAAAAGGGACAGGACCATTATTCTTCAGACGGCTTGGTGATCCTCATCATAGAGTCGAACATATAGCTGGATCTATAGCCCAGGTTCAAGGAAGGCCCGAGTTCTAGATGTCTCTTCGGCCACACTTGGTAAATGGATGCCCTTAGGTCAGGCAGCATCTCTCCCTCATCTTCCTCCTATATAATGTGAGAATGATAAGGTAAAGGTTCCCTTGCTCGAAAGCCAGTCGAATCCGACTCTAGGGTTGCGGTGCTCATCTCCGTTTCAAAGCCGAAGAGCCAGCGCTGTCTGAAGACGTTTCCGTGGTCATGTGGCCGGCATGACTAAACACCGAGGCGCACGGAACGATAATACTCACTTATTTCTTTAAAACATTTATTAGCTGCTTTTCTACCTTATGGAAATCAAGGCTGCTTGCAATGTAAATAAGGCAACAATTATTTTAAAAAATACATTAAACATACAATTTGAAATCATTCATTAGGACTGCCAATAATTTTTTAAAAATTAGTTGTCGATTTTCCGGGCTGTGCGGCTGTGGTCTTGGCATTGTAGGACCTGACGTTTCGCCAGCAGGTGTGACTGGCATCCTCAGAAGTTTAACACCGAAAGACGGAGTACTCTCTGTGTCAAGGTGAGAAGAAAAAAATGGTAAGCGGGTAATTTATCTCTACTCAGGAAGGTGGGGTAGAGCTGAGTCATTATCTTGTAGGAGTTCCCCCGGCTGTGACATGCTGGAGGAGCTTTCCTGAGGAGGTTCTTTTGCATATGGATTGGCTGTTGAAATTCCAATTCTAGTGCTATTGTAAGATACAGAGCAGAGTCTTCAGCTGCCTCCTAAAGATCAAAAGGGAGAGGGCCGAGTGTTCCCATCACTGAAAATACCTACCTTGCAGGACAGCGCTCCTGAGATAATTTGTATTAGGCCATTAATTGGATCAATACTCACTAACATGGCCCAAGTAGCCTTGTAGGAGGTGAATATATGGCAGGAATATGCTTGGAATAACTTATGTATGACACAAATGCTTTTATACGAATGGGTGGAGTGTGGTAAATTCCAGCGAGCTGCGTTGGCTGGAAAAACTTTGCAGTTCTAGAGGATGGAAAGAGCAATTCCAGAATTTTTTTTTTGGGGGGGGGGGGATCTAGGATTTCTATTTCCCCCTCCCCCTGGTGACCTTTAGGCACCTTTAAAAGGGTGCCCCCAACCTGGATGTCCAAGGCTAGCAGGGTCAGCCCTAGTTAGCATTTGGATGGGAGACTACCAAGACAAGCAATGGCAAACCACATTGGAATGTAGAACAAAGTTTGAGTCCAGTGGCACCTTTAAGACCAACAAAGTTTCATTCAAGGTGTAAGCTTTTGTGCGCACACACACTCCCTCAGATACAATGAAATGGAAGTTGCCAGTCCATACATATAGGAAGACAGTGAGCAATAAATTAGCATACAGCATAATAAAGTTGTTTGACAGATACAAGAACCAAACTGGAAAAACAAGTTTAGCATCTATGGTCACCATTTGTTTGGGTTTAATTCAGGGGGGAAACATACTGAAGGAAATAAATTGCGACCGTCCAACAACTTTTATTATGTCGTATGCTGATTTGCTGGTCACCCTCTAACTATATGCCTAGACTGGCAACTTCCATTTCAGTTTGTCTGAAGAAGTGCACCTGCACACCAAAGCTTATACCTTGACTAAAACTGTGTTGGCCCTAAAGGTGCCACTGGACTCAACAGCCCTGTAAGGTAGGCTCTTATTATAACTCCTCTATTAGCTCGCCCTGAAAGTCGCCTCATGAAATTGAGGTTGATGAGAGACTGGAACCGTCAGCCTTCCAGGTTAGAACTCATTCTGCACCCGCTCCCGGCAGATAAACTAGCCGCAGCTACGACAGCTTCGCCGGTTGGAATGCTGCCTTGCGCGTGCGCAGTCCTAGAGAGGCGACTCGGCAAGTTCCCCGGGCCGGTGCTAGGACCCGCGGGGAAGCGGGGCGGGAAGCGGAGGGCGGGGAGAGAAGCGGCCACTTTCCAAGCGCCCCGAAGGCAGCGGCCGGCGATGGGGCTGGAGGGCCAGGAGGGGGGGCACCTCCCGCCTCTCGGGGCATCATCCTCGAAGCCGGTTTCGGCTCCCCAGGTCCCCCGAGCGCGCGCTTGGACTGGTGCGCAGCCCGCGCTGCGTCTCCGCGCCATGAAGACGAGGGTGCTCCTGGGCATGTCCAGAGGGCGTCTCGGTGGCGCTTCCGCCTGGCTCGCGAGAGGCCCGGGGTTTCTCCGCTTCTCACCCTCTCGCGGGCCGCCCTGCTGCAAGGGAAGCCGGCGCGGTGGGCCGAGGGATTCCCTCGCCCACGCCCAGGTAGTGACGCATCCGCGGCCGCCCGGGGAAACGTGAGTGTCGGAGGTCCGGGGCCGCCCCGCCCTGAGCGTGGCAAGTGCTCCTGGTGGCCAGTGCAAAGTTTAAAAGCTCTCTCTCGCCTGCCTGCCTGCCTGCCTCTCTGGAGTCGGAAACCTTCACCGGTTGAACTGCGCTCCTAGGAAGCAGCCGGCTTTGGAAGGTGAGTGGAGTTGCGGAGTGAGGGGGGTGAAATGGGGAAAGGGATGGAGTGGAGAAGACGCGGCTGTGGCTCCCCCTCCCTTCCCCGGTGTGGGTGACTGCCCGACTGCTCTGCTGCTCGAGCCGCGGTTTGCAATTCGGACAAGCCAGTGGCGAATGCGTGTTGGGAGTGCAACGCCTGGCCGTGTCTGAATGCAGCCTGGATGTAGTCGAGGCTTGCGATGGGACCAGGGAGACCTGGGTTCCGTGGTGCCTGCCGACCGCCTGCGCTCAGCTTAGCCTACCTCGCAAGGCAGGCCCCTAGCCAGGATTTCTTAATTTGGGGGGGCCTTTTAAAAAGTGAGGGGGCACTGAAATTCGCCTAGAGTGCAGGTGTGTTAGCCCCCGCTTCCCCTGAAATGCCCCACTGTAGCTACGGGCCTGTCGCAAGGAGGTTGTGAGCAATGCTCCCTCTAAGCCGTGGAGTCTTGTGAGCAAACATTTTCCTTTGTGAGCTGCTGGCCATGAAAGTTGTGAGCGGGCGATTTGGCTGCTGCATCGATGAGTTGGCTCTGGAGCCCTCCTTCCCGAGCTCAGACAGAAATGTGTGAGCCGGAGGAGGCTAAAGAACTGCGCGCTAGCTCACACTCACTCAGCTTAGAGGGGACACTGGTGGTGAGGATAGGACGGAGGGGAGAAGTGTGCAGTGTGTGTGGGGGGGAAGTCTGCAGCATGGGGGGGGGCCCTCCTCAGAAGAAGCCGGGGACGGCCGTACACTGGCCCGTAGCTAACATGGGGCCCATGGGGCCTGGCCCCCTAATGTTTCTTCTAGGCCCCCTCCCTCCTGGGCTGCCTCCAAAGTGCTCCAACTTACTACCTCCACTGTACTTTCATTTAATTAGTTGGCGGGGGGCCCGAGGCCCCCTCCCAAAGAATTCCCTAGCTACGGGGCTGGCCGTACAGCAGGGCTGATGCCGGGGCTCAGAGCTCATTGAGAACTGCCCGGTGCCCGGCCACTGAAGGCCCAAGGGGGCGGTCTGGGTCGGGAAGGGAGGTGTGAGGGACCCAGGTGTGTGGGGGGGGAGGCTGGCAGCCGTGCCCTCTTCCAGAGTTGCCCCTGAGGGCCAGGAAGCCCTTTGTTTCGGAGCGAAGGGCCTGCGCCGGTGGTGGTTCTGCGGTGGAATGTGCCGCCGTCTCTTTCCTTCCCAAGAAAATCCACTTTGGGGGATGTCTGAGGGGAAAATATGTTGCGAGGGAAAATGTCATCGCCTGGCGCGAGTGCCTGGAATGATCTGCCTGGCTGGCAGTGGCGGCTCGAGCTGGGGGGGAAAACAACAGGGCGCCGTTCCTGAATGGGGGAGGAGAGATCCTGGCACAGGTGCTCCGTTTGACCTACATTGCCTGCTTCTTATCTACCTCGGCTGCAGGGATCATCCCGGAGGTGGGGCCGAGCGGTGCCAGAGTCTTCTTGGGTGAAACGCCAGCTTGGCTTTTTTTCTCTCTTTCTTTTAACCTGGAGCTCTCTGCTCTGTAAGCATCTTCTTGGTGCAGGTTTTTCAGGACAGAAAACCGGCCCTGGAAAGCTCTTCGGATCCCCCATCCCCCCCCTTCCAGCATGTAGGCAGAGGGAAGAGGACAGCTACCTGTTGCATTTGTGCCTGTTCCTTCCCGGAGGAAAGCCGTAGAGACCCCAAACTCTGCCGAGGGCAGGCGTCAGGGAAGCACAAAGGCCTTTGGCGCCAAGAAGAAGAAGAGATTGGATTTATACCCCGCCCTTCACTTGGAGTCTCAGATCGGTTTACAAACTCCTTTCCCTTCCCCTCCCCACAACAGACACCCTGTGAGGTAGATGGAGGGCTGAGAGAGCTCTTTCCAGAACTGCCCTTTCAAGGACAGCTCTGACAGAACTATGGCTTGCCCAAGGTCATCCAGCAGCTGCAAGTGGAGGAGTGGGGAATCAAACCCAGTTCTTTCCAGATTAGAGTCCGCACACTTAACCACTACACCAAACTGGCCAAAGATACCCGTTGGTACTTCTCCCGTGCGAGGGATGCCAGACTCCAGGTGGGACCTGGAGATCTCCCCCCCCCCCCGAATTACGGCTCATCTCCAGACTACAGAGCTCAGTTCCCCTGGAGACAACGGATGCTTTGGAGGGGGGCCTCTGTAGCAAATTGCCCCGTCCTCCCCAGGCTCCACCCCCACATCTCCCCTCGTTTCCCAGCCTGGATCTGGCAGCCCTCTGCGTGTCCCATGGATGAAACCTGCCCTTGAAAACCAGTTCGAAAGCTAAGCTCTGGTTCAGATTAAGTGCTGGGGGGGGCAAGGGCCAGGAAGAACCGACTTCGAACTGTTAGTCAACCTGTGGTGAGCTTGAGATGTCCAGTTTCTGGGTTTTAGTTACCGTCTGGCACCCTGACAGTCCAGTGTTCCCTCTAAGCTGAGTTAGTGTGAGCTAGCTCACACTAACTCAGCTTAGAGGGAACACTGGTCAAGACCTGTGGTGAGCTTGAGATGTCCAGTTTCTGGGTTTTAGTTACCGTCTGGCACCCTGACAGTCCAGTGTTCCCTCTAAGCTGTGGAATCTTGTGAGCAAAACTCCTACGTTGAGCTACTGACATTAAAGTTGTGAGTGAGCGATTTGGCTGCTGCATAAAGTAGTTTGCTCTGGAGCCATCCCTTCCTGAGTTGAGACAAAAATGTGTGAGGCAGAGGCTAAAAAACTGTGAGCGAGCTCACACTAACTCACCTTAGAGGGAACACTGCCTGACACCCTGGCTTCCTTCGTGCTGGAAAACTTTACCTCCCGGGTGAGGGACACTGAGTTATACAAGCCTTGCAGCCCCGAAGCGGCTTTACCACATCAGTAGAACCAGGCCTTGGAAAGGAGCAGGTGAAGCGGGAGGGGCTCCTCAAAACTGCCTGACTCGGGAGGCCCCCCCCCCGAACAAGCTGTGCACGTTGAGACCCGCTTGCGTTCTTCCCTTCCCCGGAATAAAATGCGGGGCTCTTGCACTGGTTAATACCGAGCAACTTTCTGTTTTATTTTTTTCATGTTTGCATAAATAGATAATATGGGCTGTGTTCCTGTGGGTGTTTGGCACATCACACAGTCCCGCTTTGCCATCCGGCTTCGCCCTGCTCTTCTCCCCGGCTTGGCAACCCACCTGGAAGAGAAGGGTGACCCGTTTTTTGGGTCCCGGCCCCCGATTTTGAGACCCTCGGAGTTAAGCAAATCCTTCGTGCACACCGATTCCCACGCCGTTCCTCTGCTATCCGAGGTAATGCAAACTTTGCATCGTGGAACAAAGTTAGAGTCCAGTGGCGCCTTTGAGACCAACAAAGTTTTATACAAGGTGTGAGCTTTTGTGCACATGCACACTTCATCAGACAGTGAAATGGAATTACAGATCATGGTTGTATATATAGGAGTGGTTTGTTAAATTAGCATAAGAAACTGCATTGCATGCTAATTTAACAAACCACTCCTATATATACAACTATGATATGTAATTCCATTTCATCATCTGACGATGTGTGCATTCACACGGAAGCTCACACCTTGAATAAAACTTTGGTGGTTTTAAAGGTGCCATTGGACTCTTGTTCTGTTGCTTCAGAGCAACACAGCTACCCACCTTGGTCTATCTTTGCATCATGGAGGCATCTGACTTCTTGTCAGTTTGGTGTAGTGGTTAAGTGTGTGGACTCTAATCTGGGAGAACCGGGTTTGATTCCCCACTCCTCCACTTGCACCTGCTGATGTGACCTTGGGTCAGTCACAAGCTCTGGCACAGCTGTTCCTGAAAGAGCAGTTTGTGTCAGAGCTCTCTCAGCCCCACCCACCTCCCAGGGTGTCTGTTGTGGGGAGGGGAAGGGAAAGGAGTTTGTAAGCCGCTCTGAGACTCCAAGTGAGGGGCGGGTATAAATCCAATCTCTTCTCTTCTTCTTCTTGGTTTCCCCGAGGGACTCCCTTGCTCCCCCCCCCCCGTCATCCCTTTAAGACATTTGTACGGCACCAGGTGGAATCTCTTGGTGCCTCAGAATCAAGTTTCGGCAACCATGGCTGGGCTTTCACATACTTTAGTGATGATTTGCAAGTGGGTTTTGCTGTTTCATGCAGTAAAATCCAGTTGCAAAGTGGATTGAAGGTGGATTACCCAGCATGTGTAAAAGTGGCGGCCTGGGCAAGCCTTTGGACAAACGCCTCTCCGCACATGCTCAGAGAGGTAGCTGAGCCTTGGCAATGAGCCTGGCTTTCGATGGTGGCACATGTCTCTGTGTGTTTTACCCTTAATCCCTTGGGAATTAGCCTCCTTTCAGTTTCCTGCCTAGGCATCCAAATCTGCCCCCCCCCCCCAGTGCTGAGCCACATGGGTGTGAGCTAAAACCCGCAATGCACATTTCACACCCTGTGACTAATTGGGCTGCGAGCTGGCCTTTTGTCCTTTCCAGTGCACACTCTGCGCTTTAGTTTTGGCCAGCTCTGCTCCGTGCACCTGATCCCGTTGGATCAACAAAGTAAAATCCCCTTACTACAGCAACTGCAACCTTGGCTGCTTCTGCTCCGGCAGGATTAGCAGCTGGCTTCTCTTGTGTCAGTTCCTCAGGAAGCCTGTGGGTCGGTTTCACAGCCATCTGCTGTCCCTTGTCACTGGGCTGGGGGGGGGAAGTGGGGGGCTTTTCCTTCCTCTTGCAAGCCGGCTGCGTTGGAACCTGGGAGCTACCGGGTTGGATGTGGTGCCTGTGCACACCGCCTCCGTTTTTCTCCAGCCTGAAACCGAGTTGCATAACCCTCTTGTGGGAATGTGACCGACACCAACAGAAGTGCAGCACCTCTTTATTAAGGCCCAGGAACACCCTGAGCGCAAGCTTCCCAGTTCCACAGAACTCTTAGGCTGGCTGTTAACACAAAACCACGGCGGGGTATGGAGAGAAGATGCTTCGAGATAGATTGAAAGACTGTCCACCCAGCGTCTGCCGTTGGTAGCATTTCTCAAAGGGAGACTTAAATTGATTATA